AAGAAAGGTTTCCGATATCTGATGGAATACCTCCTTCAAGGTAGTTAGCCCTCAAGTACCTAACAGATTGGAGATAAAGTATGCAATGCTTAATGTTAGAGTCAATATAAATAGAAAGCAAAGTGACACCTGAAATATATTTCACAACTCAAAGAAGAAACAGAAAAGAGAGCAAAGCCGTTTCGGTTTTCCACTTACAGAGCCCTAAGCTCAGCACAATTGGTAATTTCATTAGGAATGTTTCCATGTAAGCTGTTTTGGTGAAGTGCCCTGGTTTACATTGAAAAAGCACAATCAGAAGAAAATCAAAATTGGAGGACTTCTCAGCTGACTTTTTACTAATTCAGTATTGGACTCACAGTCTCTGTAATCTACTGAGTTTACCAATGCTGGGAGATATAGTCCCTCCCAGTTGCATGTAAGGCAAGTTACTGCAAAAACCCAATTCAAAATATATGAAAAGCACTTTGAAAACAAGCAGATTAAATCATAAGCAGTTTTAGTAAATTGAAAAGTAAGGCTTGAAGACTTACATAGAGCTGACTCTAAGGTCCTGAGGATGGCAAGTAATGCCAGTCCAATTACAGGGTGATTCATCAGAATCCTGCCAGTCACTGAGAATGTTTCTGCTGTCATTCAAAGTGCTTTTGATTTCCAACAATGCCAAACCTGAAGCAAAATAATTACCAAAAAACACAAGAAACAAGATTAATAATTTCATATATAAACCCCAAATATAATACTTGAGGAAATGCAGAAAGAATGCAAATTATCAGTAAAGATTTGATTTTTATATGTTTGCCATTAATGACCAAAGAAAATCAGAACTTCCGGCTCAACAAAATGCAACTAATTGACTAGTAAAGTAAATGTCCATCATAAATAAAGAAAAGATGAAAATTTTAACACAATGCCTCCATTTTTCATCGACGAAATGTCCAAAAACTAGAGACATTAGAACAGAAAAAAAAAAATTAAAAAAAAACCAATAAAACAGAGAAGTGGAGGGTTTTGCTTACCATCTTGGCTGATGAGAGCAAGAGAGCAATGGGAGGAGAAGATTGCAACTGAAATCATCGAGAAAATCCAAACCAAACCCTTCTTCTGCATCTTCTTGTTTCTGAGCTCAGCCACTTCACTCACTATGCTCAAAGTTTCAAGCTTTGGGAAGTAGAGAGAGACAGAGAGAGAGTAAGGGGAGATAAACTATGATGAAGCAAGCTGTGGTGCTTGGTGGGGTACTACCATTACCAATACACTAATAATAATTTTGAAGCACGGAGAGCGAGAGAGAGGGAGAGAGAGAGATTGCTTTTTCCTATTAGAGCAGAGTGAAGGGCAGACTTTCGAAAATGAGTAATGAAAGTTGTGCAGAAAGAGGCCGTTGTCCACGAATTCAAAAAATTGATCATAAGAGTTCACAACCCTAGTTCAGAGTGAATTTCCCGTCGAAAAAAAAAAGATATTGCATATGTTTATAATAAATTAGATTTTTTTATATTGTTAATTAATTTTTTTTATAGACTATTAATTAATTTTATGATAGAACTTTATTTTCATCATAATGTCAAAGTAGGTTACTTGTATATTTGTCACTAAAATTTTGATGTTCTTTTACTTCGGTCATTGAATTATTTTCTTGTCTCATTTCTAGACTTTTTAAATCGATATAATTAGTTGTGCACACTACTAAAACTTTTTAAATTGATAGAATTGTTCATTTGTTGTGCACACGACTAGGCAAGTGCAGTGATGGATGCCTCGGATTTTGGGTGAAATTGCACAACTTTTAGACATTTTTGTTTGAGCATTCTTTAAAATGGGGACCGACAACTAAAGTGAAAATTATACCTAAATAGTCGAATTGGATTTGGCGGTTTATTAATTTGTTTTGCCAATGAGTGCCAACCCCACAAGTGACCTACTTATGCTAATTTTGTAATAGACGTTATTGATAGTCATCATTAGACATACTTGAAATGTTTAAGACAATTTTAAGATGAAACAGAAAATAATAATTGAGGATCAAAGTGAGAACCGTGAAACATTTTTGGGACACATTTATAACTAACTCAAAAGATAAATAAGGAAGGCTTTGACAATCCAACTTCATTGTATATAGGATTAAGTACCTAATACTCTTAATTTTTTAGTATCATTTCAAATTGGTCTCAACATTTATAAACATTTTAACAAATATCAAATCTATTGAAAATGTCACATCCGTTAAGCCCCAATTAATTTTTCGTTAAATGTACAATTGGCAATAATGAGTCCTACTCCAAACTCACTAATTGATTCAACTTCCAATTCTTCTTTGTAGCCGGTGAAGATGGTATCAGTCGTATCATGATAGTCAGTACCATTTTAGCAACCTTCATGACCTTCTATTGATTTGGAGACAAAGTAAACCCTAGTTAATTTAATATAAATTAATTGGGACTTAATGGATGTGACATTTTTAATAGGTTGAGTACTTATTTAGAATGTTTAAAAATGTTGAGACCAATTTAAAATGACATCAAAAGATTGAAGAGTTTTCAATACTTAATCCTTATATATAAGAACGAAGCCAATATTGTCCTTAATCAACAATTACCATTCATGGTTAGAATAAAAACAACTCCAAATTATAATCAATCTTTTTTTATGAGTTCATAGCATTAACCCCATTTATCATAAATGGGATACCATGAAGTTGAAAAGAACAAACCAAAAGTTCCAACCATCTTATCAGATTCTAGAAGAAAAAAAATCACGAAACTGGGCTGAGACAGTTCCTAAACTAATTGATTACAATAACTAATAGAGAGTTCGATTTTCTTTTGTTTAACTTTTTTTGTTTTTTTGCGTTCAAAGGAGGCCACCTAGTTAGGCATGGTCGTGGGAAATAAGGGAGGACAACAAACTATGAAGCCTTATCAATGGAATTTGTTGAGAAAATGGATTGCTAAATTTTGTTAACGGTGATATCAACTCCATCAACTGATGTTGCATCTGGATTGATCAATTTCCATCTGAAAAGTACATAAAGTTCAGCTCATTCGAAAATACATATCGATATATTTAATAAAGATGTAACAAGATTGCTCCTTATTGTATCCTATTGACAATTACACCACATGCATGCATGTACAATAAAAAATATTAATGACCATATATATATATATATATATATATATATATATATATATATATATATCCATGGAATATGATGGTGTGCCTATAAGAAACTGTCCGTGCCTAATAACTCAACGGATACATATAGTCCAAGAAACAAGATGAAGTGTCTGTAAGAAACTATTTATGCCTAATAACTCAACGGACATAGTCCTTTTAAAAGCTCTCAATTGATTTTTGTGGTGAAATTAGTTAAGATAATAATTAAGGACCTGACCAACATGGTGAAAGGCAATTCCAAGAATGTTGAATGGCATCTAGGAGAGGTCCAGTTCCAAACTTACATATAGTTTCTTAATATACAGATTATTTATGATCTTTTTTGGTTTATGGGGACCAAATTTAGATCACTCTATCCTAAATTACCACTAGTTAATAGTGCTTCGAACTCGGTTTGAGAGGAAGCAATATCCAAAGCTCATTCCACCACCACAAGAGCAACCCCAATAGCGGCAAGCCTCCCAAAACCAAGGCCACCCCCACTCCCATAGAGATATCCACGTATGTCCCTTGACCCTGTCTAGCTACAGAATATGTAAATCAATCCCCCCGGCTCTTATCCTCGCTTAAGGCCAGTGCCATACTCGACTATATAGTTGTGGTTGATTCCGAGTTGATTTTTCGTCTGACCAGGCTGAGCAAATAGACAAAGGAATACCAAACCCACCGAAAATGCTTTCATGTCGCGTCCTATTTTATGATTTGATTCCCTAATGAGATAATGAGCACTAACCTGCAGGTATTGTCCTTATTATTGCTTTCGTCGGAAAAGGATCCTCTCTATATCCCTTTCATCTAATCCATCAAATTCGGGGATTCGAGTTATTGAAATTTGATCAAACGGCTACAAACGGGGGCTCACTTTAAAAGTTATAATAACTTTAACCGTTAGATCAAATTTCAATAGTCTGGATCCCCGAACATAGTGGATTAGGAGGAAGAGATCCGGAGAGGATCCCTTTCCACTTTTGTCCCTATAGGATGTGATGGATTGCAACGTTAAAACAAAATACATGACAATCTATTCTGTTTAATGTTCTTTTTCAAAAGATTGGATATTGACTCTTAAGATTGAAGTGGAATTCCTTCTCAATTTACTTCGAGGCCGATTCACAGAATCTCATGTTTATGATCATAACCGTTTATACTGTAAATCAATATGTATGTAAAAATCATTTCTACAAAGATTCAATTAATAAGGTAATTTAGTCAATCAATTGTTGCAATAGATAATGGTTCATAATGTTATTATTGAATCTGTCCATCTGTTTTTATACGGTTGAAGACAAAATGATCTCATATTTGAATGATTTTTTTGTAGAAATAATCTTTAAAGAGTGGTTTATAATATTACTTGCATCCTATGAACCACCCAGGCATATATTAATGAATATCACCAGATGGCTGTATCTACCCAATTATATTGATAGAGACAGGAAAAAAAGAGTACCAAATCATTATAGTGGAAATAAACGTTGGAGCGTATGAACGAGAAAAGACATACATTAATACATGATTCACAACCAACAAGACACTAGAAATAATTCTAGTTCCTTTTCTTTGGTTTTTTTTTATTTTCCATTTTTGAAATTAAAAGCAGGCCTACGACTGGGGAAAATAGAACGGTGAGATGTCAAACAATATATATGGATGAGGTTATGAGAAAATGGATTTCTAAATTTTGTTGAACGTGACGTCAATCTTATCGACTGATGATGGATGTGAAAGATAAATCATCTCAGCATTTGGATTGACCAATTTCCATCTAAAAAATTTCAATCACAATAAAATTCAAGAATTATGTCTATAGTGTGTTGACATTTAATAGCATAAAAAATATATAGTAACGCTTCAAATTGAGTTTCCTTACTTGTATCCTATAGACAAATGATGTAAAAATACTGCAAGTTGTATCTTGACAAGCAAGTTTCCTACACATATTCTCGATCCACCACCAAAAACTTGGTATGTTCAGAGCTTAGCTGATTCCTGAAGGAGTGAAACTACACCCATTAATTACTTAGTAATTTATCTTCAATTAATTCATCGTGTTAGAATATTGACTTACATTCCATCTATCTGGGTTGAAGCACATGGGATCATCAAAATTCTCTGAATTTGTGTGGATATATCGAACCCAAACAATCACTCTCCAATCCTTGGGTATTTTATAACCTACACCAATCAATTTGGTTAGAAACACACAAAAAATTATGTGTGCCGATGGTAATTAAAAACATAGTTTACATTTTGTTACCTTTATACTCAACTTCCTTAGTAGCCAATCGGAAAACAAATGCTGCAACGTTGGCCAATCTTATTGTTTCTTCCACCACCTGTATATCATTATATGAAGTGCAATAGCTTTGGCTTGAGATTAATTCTTTGTTACAAGGAGTATCGCGGGAGATGCATAACGATACTAATAATGAATGACTTTTCTCTTTTATACAAACGTTATTAGAAGGGGGAATCAGAACATCAAATGCAGCACTTCAGTAAATCCCTCAATGCATACAGATAAAGTACCTTGTTTGTGTATTTCATTTTTGAAACATCTTCATATGTGATAAAACTCCCCAGTCTTGTTTGTGGATGCAAATTTTTTCCTCCTTGATCTTGGACAATTTTGCACCTACAAAACAACTAGCACCTTAGGTTAAGGCCAAAAGCTTCACGCGCCTACGATGAATGGGGGGACTTTGGCCGAAGAACCTCCGATGCCAATGTTAGAATTTTAGAGAGAAAGAATGTTAGAGTATTTAGGATTTTTTGCAAGAGGATTGGAATGAGTATTTGGTGAAAATAGGAGCCTATTTATAGGGCTAGGTTGGTCCACTTTAGAGAGGAAGTGGCCGGCCAACACTAGGTTTTTTGGGTTAAATTTTTGGTTTAATTAGCCAATTTATTGGCTAATTAAATATGAAGGAAATAAATGGGGGGTTATAGAGTTAATTATCTAATTTAATTTGGGCAATAAAGTGTGGAAAATAAGAAAGGTAAGGAGCATGGGAGATGGCCGGCCATTGCCTAGCTTTGGGATTGAATGGGATGTATTTTATGGTTAATTGGAGGATTTAATTAGCAATTCATATATTAATTAGGTATAAATATATTAATTGGCTAATTATCATAATAAAAGAAACATTTTGGGAGGTTTTTGGAGGTTATGGAATGAGGATGGATGAGACAAATTTGAACTTATTACCTATTTTGGGTACTCCTGATTTGGTTGATGGATGATTCTCCACTGCTCGCGTGTAGGAGACCCGGTATGCCTCGAGGGTAAATTTGTCATCTTCATAAAAAAATCTACATGTCGCCTTGTGATTATTTTTGGCTCCACATTGTTCTTGTGTATAGCCATATTCTGTTCCTGCAATTACATATCACGAAAACGCGTCAAGATGAAACATAATTAAATGAATGTTTCTTTTTTCGAGTCAAATTATGAGAGATGGTGATATGCTATGATCATACGCGAAGCTTTTGGAGGACGTTGTGGAGCCAAAAATATTCACTAGGCGACACGTGGATTTGTGAACGAAAGAGGACAAAAATACCCTTGAGGTATATCGGGATTCCTACGCGCAAGTAGTGGGTAATCATCCTCAACCAATTCAAAAATGCTCCAGAAGAGGTAACTAATTCCAAATTATCTTATTTTAGGTAATTATTTCCAAAACTTAATTTCCCTAATATATTATTTAGTTAATTAATTATCTAAATAATATATTCTTCCCATATCTCCTAAAATCATCCCTTAATTACCAATTTGAAACATCCACTCAAACCTAAAAAATGGGATAGGGCCGGCTACCCCATTCAAAGTCTATTCCATCACCTTTTTTTCTACCTTTTCCACCTTTCCTTCCCTTTTAAATTAGCCAATCAATACCATAAATAATAAAATATCTCCTTTCATATTTAATTAGCCAATTAATTGGCTAATTAAACCTAAAATAAAACCTAAAAATCCCATAGTAACCGGCCATATTCCCTCCCATCTTTTCCCTACATTTTTTTTATTTTCCTCCACTTTATTACTCAAATAAAGCTAATCATTTAAGACCCCATTCATTTCTATTTTATTAGCCAATAAAGGGGCTAATAAAAAACCACAAATTGACTAAGAAAAGGGAAGGGTGTGGCCGGCCCTTCCTTGGTGAAAAATGGGGAAGCCTAATCCTATAAATAGGCTCCTATTCTCACCAAAAATTCATTCCAAACCTCTTGCAAAAATTCCAAAACACTCTAAACACTATTTCTCTCTAAATTTCTAACTTTGGCATCGGAGGTTCTTCGGCCAAAGCCCCCCCCATTCATCGTGGGCGCGTGAGGCTTTTGGCCTTAACCTAAGGTGCTAGTTGTTTTGTAGGTGCAAAATCGTCCAAGATCGAAGAGGTGAAAATTTGCATCCACAAATTGGTGCTTTCATTGAGAGTTGTAATCCATACTCGTAGAAGACTCTCGTACAAAAAGGTTTTTTTCTTTATTTTCTAGTCTATTTGAATATTTTTCATATACGTTCTTATTATTAGAATTTTCTACTTGCAAAGGTTCTTTGATAAAACGTATAAGAAAAATATAATGACTAGAAATTTAGAAAATTCCGCAAGTAAAAATTCTAGTATTCAAGAAATGGGACTACGGAGATCCATGAGGCAAAATGCGACAAGAAGGGGAGCGGCATCATCACCACGAGCTTCCACCATGGGAACCACCGTGATGGCTACCTCGGTAGCCACCCGCGGCGAGGTCCATGATGCCTTCACCACGGCCGCCATGGGAACCACCACGGTGGCTACTTCGGTAGCCGCTCGTGGCGAGGTCCATGGAGCCTTCACCACGGCCGCCATGGGAACCACCACGGTGGCTACTTCGGTAGCCACTCGTGGCGAGGTCCATGGAGCCTTCACCACGGCCCGAGTCGTGCCATCCAAGTTTACGTGGACCAAAGCCCAAGCCTCGCATTCACATGCACCGCGCATTGAGCAGCCTGCTCCCGTGATCCAGCCTGCTCTTGTAGCCCAGCCTACTCTAACGATCCAGCCTGCCCCAGTGATCCAGCCTGCCCCCGCAGCCCAGCCTGTTTTCATGGTTTCCCAAGCTGCCCAAGTCCGCCCGAGACAATCTCAACCATCCGGACCAATCATCGAGGCTGAGGCGTTTTCACCACATTTCTCTGCAGATTTGACATTCCCCAACTCAAATCTCGCACTTGGAGTCAACCACCCTTTCATTGTTCAAGGAGGTGCATTCCATCCAAGTTCTTCCAATCCGAATGGCGAGCAAAACTTGTCCCGACAAGTCATAGAATTGACGAGCGCCCTTGCACAACAAACCACCTTGGTGAATCAACTTTTACAACGCACTGAGATGCATCGCGCTCACGATGAAGTTTCCCGGAGTAGAACAAGGGTAGACAAGGAGCCTTTTAAACAGCGTCCTGGAAAGCAGCCATTCAACCCATCACAAGTGGAGCATTCAGACAGTGCACACTCTCGATTGGGCCCCCGAAATAGCGTATACTCCCGTCTTAGCGCGCGGAGGAGCGTGCACTCTCGGTTAGGCCCACGAGCAAGTATACATTCACGGTTGGGGCCACGCTTTGATAATCAACATGGGCAACCTTCCAGGCAAAGCATTCATTCGCGATTAGGCTCACAAGGAGTATCCTCCACATCACATCGGAGCAGGCAGCCTGACAAACGGAAGGAAACGATCGTTCAATCTGGCTCTAGTTCAACCGGTAGCCTGCAAAAAAATCCCTCGCCTGCTAGGAATCTATCTCATCCATTGCAACCACAGCGTAGACGAGCCGAGCGAGAAGAAGAGCAGCCTAGACCGGTAGAAAAAGACCAAGGGCAGCCAAAAGCTCCGCTACCCCAACAAAAGCAAATCCAAGAAGAGGTAGAAAGACTTTTCAATGAACGGATGCGTGATTTTCGGCGCAACGAAATGGTTGATGAGGCACTAAGGCGAGATATGACCAACATGAGCAGGTCACCTTTCGCGGATGAGATCGAGCAGGCAGAGCCTCCGCGCAAGTTTAGCATGCCACACTTCACATCTTTCAAAGGAGATGGGGATCCCGAAAGACACTTGAAGCATTACCGAAATGCGATGGTCCTTTATCGGAATAATGACGCCCTTATGTGCAAAATATTCGCCACTACTTTACAAGGCGAGGCACAAGATTGGTTTCATACCTTGCCGGCACGATCCATCCAGAATTTTGATGATCTTTCCTTGGTCTTCACCAAAGAATACTCATCTTATCGATCGATCAAGAAGAAGTCCGATCACCTGTTCAACGTAAAGAAAAACCCAAAAGAGTCGCTTCGCGATTACGTGAAGAGATTCAAAGCAGAGAAGCGCGAAGATCGTCGGATGCGACAACTCGATAGCAAGTGCAGCCTTCCAAAAAGGACTACCAGCAGACCACCCACTGTTTGGAGAAATGATCATGAAAGAAGACCTAACTCTAGCAGATTCCTTTGCTCTGGCAGAAAAGCATGCGCTTTGGGACGAGGCTCGACAAACAGAAAAGGCTCCCGAACAACCTCGAAAAGAGTTGGCAACTGCTCAAAAGAAGGATGAAAAACAACCCAACAAGGGCAGGCAGGAGTTCAAGCGCAGGGACCGACCCACGACCAAAGAAGGCCCGATGACCAACAACTATTCTAAGTTCTCAATTCCGATTCATCAAATCCTTCGAGACGTCAAGAATGAACCATGGTTCAAGTTACCGAGGCAGTCAAAAGGAGATACTTCCAAGTTGGACCATACTAAGTACTGCGTATTCCACCGAGGTCCCGGTCACACAACCAACGATTGTTACACTTGGAAAAACTACCTAGAGAAACTCGTGAAAGAAGGCAAAGTCGATAGATATTTGGACAAGCCAGCTGAGCAGCCAAAAAGGAATGCAGACGGAGATGAGGAGCCACCAACTAAGACGATTCGAATCAATGGCATTTTCGCTGAGTCCGAGCACTTAGGGGCTACTAATAACTCCAAAAAGAGGAAGATCCAGCAAGCTTTACTAATCTCACAAGTTCATGCAGTCGATACCCAACCTGGACCTATCATTGGCTTCACAGAGCAGGATGCGGAAGGAGTCGACTTCCCACACGACGATGCATTAGTAGTATCTGTCCAACTAGCCCATGCTATAGTCGATAGGATGATGGTTGACAATGGAAGTGCGGTCAACCTACTTCAACTTTCAGTCATTCAGAAGATGGGCCTGGAAAGTACAATCATACGCCGGGCAGAGGTACTTACTGGATTCAACGGACACACCTCAACTGCCATCGGTCATATCATACTTGACGTAAAAACACCGCCAGTCGTCTCAAAGCAAACATTCACGATTGTAAGCGACCCATCTCCCTACAATGGGATTCTTGGGAGACCTTGGTTGATCAAGCTGGATGCTGTCACTTCCGTCAAGTATCAAAAAATCCGATTCCGCATCCCGGGAGGAGGAGTCGGAGAGATCAAGTCTGACCAGGCTTCATCCCGACGATGCACTGTGCAAATGTTAAAAGAAACAAAGAAGAAGACCTTTACCCCTGTAAAGGTTACCGAAGTCCAAAAGG